GACTCAAACGACGGGTCAGTGACAACTGTGGCTAGCAGACGCGTGACAGTAGGGTGAGCAGCACGGGTGCGGTCAGACTCAGGCTCAGGAACGGTAGGCAGAGAAGACGCAGGAGGGGACGGCAGGGGAACACGCTGCGGAGGAGAGGAAGGACGACAAACTACGAGGTGGGTGCCGGTGACAGCCGGCTGACGTGAACGAGGAACACGACGACCAGAACGGATAGGCGAGACAGGACGCGACGCAGGCGCACGACGCTCAGTAAGACCCCCTGTCTGCTCAGTGTAAGGAGAAGGAGCAGGCAGCGGTGAGCCAGGCTGTAACGGAAGACCAGTAGACGAAGGGAGACTAAGAACCTGGCGAAGCGCAGAGTCAGACGGTGGCTGAGACGACGGAGACGGTGGAGCAACGAACAGGCGCGGCTGTGCAGTGCCACCAGCACCAGCCGCTCCAGCACCCCCAGCAGCTCCAGAACCCTCAGCGCCAGCTCCTACAGGACCAGCTCCACCAGCAACAGCACCCCCAGAACCGGCACCTCCAGTCCCAGGGTCTCCAGCCTCAGTGTCTCCAGTAGCAGCACCCCCAGACCCAGGGTCTCCAGCAGTAGCACCCTCAGGCTCAGCACCTCCAGCCCCAGCAGCTCCAGTGCCTCCAGTACGAGCACCTCCGGGACCAGGACCACTCCCAGCTCCAGTGACGCCAGCAGAAGTACCTCCAGCGGCAGAGCCTCGAGCTCCAGAAGCGCGACCCTGACGGCGACCGTACCAGTCGTGGAGCTGCTGTGAGGTGAGAGGCACACGCGGACGAAGGCGGCCACTCCAAGGAGACCGCGCAACAGCAGACTCAGAACCCGCAGCGCCAGCACCCGCAGCAGCTCCAGAACCTCCAGCTCCAGCACCCTCAGCAGCTCCAGAACCTCCAGCTCCAGCACCCTCAGCAGCTCCATAACCTCCAGCAGAAACAACTCCAGTAGCAGAGTCACCAGCTCCAGCGCCTCCCGCAGCAGGGCCCCTAGCTCCAGCAGCGCGACCCTGACGGCCAACGTACCACTCGCGCAACTGCTGTGGGGAGAGAGGGAGTCGATGACGAGAGTGCAGCGGCGAGGTACCAGCGGAGCGACTACGGAGACGGCCGCCCCAGGGAGACTGCTCACCAGACGCCTCAGCGCCCCCAGGTGCAGCACCCCCAGACTCAGTACCCCCAGGCTCAGCACCCCCAGACTCCTCACGCCCAGGCTCAGCACCTCCAGTCTCCGCACCCCCAGGCTCCGCACCTCCAGGCTCCGCAACCCCAGGCTCAGCACCCCCAGGCTCCGCACCCCCAGGCTCAGCACCCCCAGGCTCCGCAACCCCAGGCTCAGCACCCCCAGAAGCAGCACCCCGAGCAGGACCACCCTCAGCAGGACCTGAGTCACCAGTGACCTCAACCGGCGCAGTCAAGGGAGGAGGGTCTACCTGAGACACACTTGAAGGAGCAGGACCGGGAGCAGGGAGGGGGTCTACATGGGGAGCACCTGGAGCGAGGAAGAGCGGCGGGGGGGGGGGGGGGAGAGGGGCAGTGCGGTAGGGGAAGAGACGGTAAAAGGGAACTGACTCGTCGAACGTGACGTCCTGAGAGGGGAAGACACGGCGCGAGGTGGGGTGGTAAAACTGCCAACCAAGCGCGTCACGGACAAAGCCAAGGAAGACACAGGGAACAGCGCGGGCGGAGAGCTTGTCCGCGGTGGTATCGCGGACAAAGGCACGAGCACCCCAGACCCGGAAACGCGACGCATCGCCAACCTTCCCCGTCCACAGCAGTGTGGGCGAGGTCTCTGGCAAGGAGACACGGGGCCAGAGGTTGAGCTGATGCGCGGCATACCGGACCGCAAACGGCCACAGAAAATGGGTGGCAGCCGCATGGATCATGGAGGTACGAGCGACCTCCATGACTAAGCCAATGCGGCGCTCAGCAACCCCATTCTGCTGCGGAGAGGCCGGAAGCGTGAACGTCTGGCGGATGCCGTGCTCCGCACAGAAGGCTGCCAAGAGGTCGGAGGAAAACTCCCCACCTCTGTCAGAGTGCAGACGCAGGACGGGAAACTCCGTCCCGAACCGCTCGCGGAGCTGGAGACGAGTAGCGCGGATCCAAGGAATCAAAACATCAGGGACCTCACCCTTGGTGCGCAAGGGAAAGACCGTGGTGTGAAGCGTGTAGTCGTCGATGACCAGCAGGAAGTACCGCTCGTTGCCCTGTCCACGGACGTGGGCTGGGCCCCACACGTCCAGGTGGAGAGTCTGCAGGGGAGCCTCTATGGGAGGGAACGAGGAGTGAGGAGCGGCGCGCTGCCGCCCCTCGACACAGGGAAGACAGGGAGGAGCAGGCGAGGGTGGGAGGGGAGGGAGAACCCTGGGAAGACCAGAGACAAGGACACGGCAGTGCATGCTGCGAAGGCGCTGCACCGAGGGGTGACCAAGGCGGTGGTGCCAAAGGAGGGTCTGGTGCGACAAGGCGCGACACGAGCAGGGGGCCGACAACTGACCTGACGCAGACGCAGACGCAGCTACCTGAGGGGACTCAGTGGTCAGTGTGTACAGGCCCGACCCCGGCTGCCGAGTGAAGGTAGCCAGGTGACGACCCGTCTGAGCACACGTGCAGTGTGTCACACGCTCGTAGGCAGGGGTGAACTGGTGAACACCCGCGTCCTGTAGCGCAGAACTCGCCACCAAGTTCGTAGAGAACGAGGGGAGGTAAAGACCTGACAGTGTGCCGGACGGGACAGCAGGACAAGGGAGGACAGTGGTGGAGGTCGCACGGACTGGACCCCCAGAGGGGTCTGCCAGGGAGACTGCAACCGGCCGACTGAGCGGCGTGAGGGTGGTGCTGTCGCGAAAGAAGGGGCGAGAAGCACCGGAGTCAAGTGTGAAGGTGTACAAGGCCTCAGCAGGCGCAGTACCAGAGAGAGCAGACTCACCAGCACCTGGAGCAGCAGCCTCACCAGCACCTAGAGCAGGAGACGCACGAGCACCTAGAGCAGCAGCCTCACCAACACCTAGAGCAGTAGGCTCTATACCTGGGTCAGGCGGTACGCACAGGTAACAGGCACGGTCAGCACTAGTAGGCAATGCATACATGGCAGTGAGAATAGCATCGTGTCAAACATACATGACATAGTCTGTGTAGGCTGTAGTGGGGTAGACCATATGGGGTACAACACTGCTAGGTTTTCCTACTTGTACCCATCTCCTTGCTAGTTCAGCCATTCCTTGTTCTGTAATTCTAACATGGTTTCAGAGCAAGTTCCCTACTGGGACCGGTTTTTTTTTAGGGCCCACCACAAACTTTTTTTTCTGCCCTGCCCTAATCGCACTGTCACGTGCCTTGCGCCTGACTACCCGCGCCCTCGAGCGCCTGCCTACCCGCGCCCTCGAGCGCCTGCCTACCCGCGCCCCTGGCCCCTGGAGCAGCCGCCACTGCAGCAGCCGCCCCTGGCCCCTAGAGCAGCCGCTCGTGCAACAGCCGCCCCTGGCCCCTGGACCAGCCGCCCCTGCAGCAGCCGCTCCTGGCCCCTGGAGCAGCCGTCCCTGCCCTGCACCCGCGCAGCCGCCCCTGGACCCCGCGGCGCGGCCCCTGGACCCCGCGACGCGTCGCCCTGCCTCTGCCTCGTCGCAACGCCCCTGCGGGACCCGCGCGTCGCTCCCCCGCCTCGTCGCGACGCCCCTGCGGGACCCGCGCGTCGCCCCTGCCTCGTCACGACGCCCCTGCGGGACCCGCGCGTCGCCCCCGCCTCGTCGCGACGCCCCTGCGGCACCCGCGAGGCGCGGCTCCTGCGCATCGTACCGACCCAACGGGACCCGGGCGTCGCCCCTGCTCATCGCGACGCCCCTGCGGGACCCGCGCGGCGTCGCCCCTGCCCGCCGCGGCGCCCTGCCCTACCCCGCGCCCGCCCTTTGGACGGTCGCCCCTGTACCGCCCTGCAGCAGCTGCCGTCGCGGCCCTGCCCCGCCCTATAGCAGCGGCCGTCGCGGACTGCCCCGCCCTTCAGCAGCTGCCGTTGCGGACTGTCCCGCCCTGCAACAGCTACCGTCGCGGCCCTGTCCCCGTCCTGCACCAGCTGCCGTCGCGGCCCGGCCCCGCCCTGCACCAACTGCCGCGGAGCTCCCTGCCGCGGTCGTGGCCCCGCCCTGCCGCTGTAGCGGCCCCGCCGTCGCCGCCGTCGTGCACCTGCCCTTCCCTCCACTGGTGAGCACTGCCCTGCCCGCACTGCTACCGCTACTACTGCCGCTACTGCTGTTACTGCTGTTACTGCTTCTACTGCTGCTACTACTGCTCCTGGTTTGGCCAGATGCAGCTCCAGGGCCGTCCGCGTGAGTCCCTCACGCCCCAGCAGCTTCGTGAGTGGTATGCTAGTTGGGGTTGTCGGGGTGGCCGTAGTGGGAGTCGCCCAGGAGTGGGTAGTTCGGGAGCTTCTGGTAGTGGCCAGGTGCAGCTGCAGCGTCGTTCGAGCGAGGCTCTTTCGCCCCAGCAGCTTCGTGAGTGGTACGCTCAGAGTAGAGGGTCGCTGAGTACTGCTCGCTGCCCGTACGTCATTCGCACGGGTGTCCGGACTGGTCAGCCTTGCGGGACGGCTAGTCACACAGAGTCCCGCTGCTTCGCCCGTCTGAGCGACGCTTGGCGTACAGAGTTTGGCGACGATGCTGAGCTCCCCGACTGGGTGGAGCTGCTTAGGCAGAGGGTAGATATCTTTGCTCTTGACTATGATGCTATCCTTGTTGGAGTAGGCTAGAGCTCACTCTGGTCTTTATTTTGGTGTTCTTATATTATTTCTCCATGCTTAGAGAGCGTTAAGCATTCAGGTTCATTTTAGGTTCATTTTGTAGCTTTTAGTACAAACCGAACACACCCTAGGTTCAATTAGGGTTTCCAACCATCTCTCTTTTGTACCTCGACATTTCTCTTTCTAGTTTAACCTTTTTACCTCACCAAACACTCTCGCCATCCATGGCTTCTCTAACTTCAACATGGTATTCAGAGCCTAGTCCTAGGCGTTTCCCTTTTATCCGCATCTCTTAGAAATTTTCTGGTCCTTAGGCCATTTCCGCGCTACTTACCTAGACGATTTTCTTTTTCTTCTATTCTATCGTTTCCTTAAAGTCACACTTAGCATCCTCGCGGTTTTCTTCATTTTAGTCACGCGGATGCTCTATTTCACCCCGTAGCGTGCCTCCCTACAGCCCGTTCGCTCTCCTGCGCCTTCCCCCTTCGTCGCGCCTCCTCCTCTCAAGTTCCCGACTGTAGCGCGCCTTTTTTTTGCTCGTAGCGCGCTCAGCCGCCCCCCCCTCCCCTCCGCCCCCCTTCCCGTCTCGTCGCGCGCGCATTGCGCTGCCGTCGCCGCGCGCGCTTCGCTTCGTCGAGCAACGCGCGCGCCTGCCTCCCCTGCGGCGCACCCTGCCCCTTCCCAATCCGCCCTCCCCTCCCTCGCCCTCCTCCTCCTTTCCACTCTCCTTTGTCCATCCCTCCCTATCTCACCTCTTCCTCCTCCTCCTTTCTCTCCTCATCTGCTGCAACTCGTGCGTGCTTGTGGCGCGCTCTTCCCACAAACCCGCCCCTTCACCATCCTCCTCCTCTCCTCTCTCCCTCTAACTCCCCTTCCGCTCGTTTTCCTCCACCTCTTTTCTCTCCCCATCTGCTGCAGCTGGTGACTGATTGTGTATTGAAGTTGTTGCTCCTCCACACCTTTCCTCCTCCTCAGTACCCTCCCCTCAACTGCTCAACTGCGACCTCCTTCACAACTATCCCTCCTCTTATTTCTCCCCTCAGCAGCACAGCAGCAGACTACCCCGCCACTATCCCTCCTCCTCTAGTTTCTCCCCTCAGCGGCGCGGCAGCAGACTACTTCGCCACTATCCCTCCTCCTCTAGTTTCTCCCCTCAGCGGCGCAGCAGCAGACTACTTCGCCACTATCCCTCATCCTCTTGTTTCTCCCCTCAGCGGCGCAGCAGCAGACTACTCCGCCACTATCCCTCCTCCTCTAGTTTCTCCCCTCAGCGGCGCAGCAGCAGACTACTCCGCCACTATCCCTCCTCCTCTAGTTTCTCCCCTCAGCGGCGCAGCAGCGGACTCCTTCGCCCTTATTCCTCCGCCTCTTATACCTCTCCCCTCATCTGCTCTGAAGCTGTCTCCTCCTCCTTATGGCGACCTCTCTCGCCCTCCCCTCCCTCCCTCTGCTGGTCCTTCAGCTTGCGCCTAATGGCAGCGCAGTCAACTTCCCCAGTTGGCTGAACTGTCTCGAGCGCACGCTGTCTGGCACCCTCGTGAGTGGCTTTAACCTCTGGTTTGTCACTCAGCAGAGTGGTTCTGGCGCCATTCCTAAACCTTCCTCTGCACCTACCTCTACCTCCTCTGACCCCTATGCTGATGGCCTTCGTGCTGCTATCGCTGAAACTGAGCGGATTGCGGCCACGGCCCAAGCCACTGCTGCGGCTGCTCCTGACAATGCTGCCGCCCGTGACTCTCCTCGTTCTGCCTCTACTCCCTCTGCTTTTGCTCCATCTCACTCTGACCTTCTCGCTGAATGGCATGTTGCCAACGCACGTGCCTGCCAGGTCATCCTTGCCTGCCTACCTCCAACCCTTCTCCCTCAGTGCTCGCACATCCGCTATGCCAAGGACCTTCTCGGCTATCTTACCGAGCGCTTCCAGTCGCAGACTCCCATCAGTGTCATTGCCCTCTTACGCGAGCGTACCTCTCTTCGCCTTGATGACTTCACCACCATGGCGGACTACATCGCTCGTGTGCAGACGCTGTCCTCCCAACTTGCCTCTCAAAAGTTTGAACTTTCCGATCATGTGTGCGGTGTCCTCCTCCTCACAGGCCTCACTCCTGAATACAGTGTTCATGTCACTCTGTATGGTGAGCGCCCTGCCGACCAGTGGTCGTTCTCTCGTGTCTCTGCCTTCCTCCTCCAGGCAGAGCTCAACCTCCGCAGCTGCCCTCCTACTGCCACCGCTGTCACACCTTCTTCCGCCCCCCCCCCTCTCCCCACCTCCACTACCGCAAGGGTCAGCCATGCGGTCGCACCAATCATCCCTCCTCCTCCTGCTTCCAGAAGCTCACCGATGACTGGTTCCTGGCTGGCAACACTGGTCGCCCTCCCAACTGGCTTCAACTCTCTCGTCAGCGTCGCCAGTCTTTTGCCCAGGCGGTACTTGTGGCTGCCGACTCTGGTACTAGTGCTCAAACCTCTGCTCTCAGTGTGACTATGCCTAGTCAGGATAGCATTCTGGGAGCTTCTCCCCTTATGGACCCTCGTTTTGCCATGATGTTTGCTCCTTCTGTTAATGGCAATGATTCTCAGTATCTTCGTCCCACAGCTGCTGCTCTTTCTCTCCCTCACACTCTTGAGTTTGTTCTTTGCAGTGGTGCCACTGACTCTGTTTTTCGTGATGCTGGTGTGCTTCGCTCTTTTCCCCAACCCCTCCCCATTCAAGGAGCTGGGGATACCATGACCATGACTTGCACTGCTACCTCCTCTCTTCCCTGTCCTGCCTCCCCCTCTGGTGCTGTGACTGGCCTCTATGTCCCTTCCTGCCGCCACAACCTTCTCTCTCTCTCTGCACTTCAACGTCTTTGTGTGCGAGCTATCTTTCCTGAATGTGACTCCTATTGTGATCTCTATCATCGCAACCGCCATCTTGCACGCTTTACTCTTTCCCCTATCACTCGCCTCTACACTCTTCGTGTCTCTCTCCCCCCTTCTGCCCATCATGCCTCTTCCGCTTCCGCCCCTCCCGTTCCTTCTTGCGACTGTCGTTCTCTCACTCAACCTACCCTTCTCCTCCATCATCAGCTTGGCCACCCCAATTTTCCCCTTCTTCGCAGTATGGTCTCCTCCAAGCTTCTTCATGGCCTCCCTTCCTCTCTCCCCCCTCTTCCTCCCTCTCCTGCTCTTCCATGTACCCCATGTGTCCAGGCCAAATTATCCCAGTCACCCCATCCCTCTTCTCCCTCTGCCTCTCCCCAACCCCTTGACCTTGTTCATATGGACCTCTGGGGTCCTTCACCCACTGCGTCTCGTCAGGGTCATCGCTACTTTCTGCTTTTGGTTGATGACCACTCACGATTTGCCACTGTCTATCCCCTCCGTGCCAAATCTGACGCTCCCTCCCTCATCATTCGATGGGCTGAGCAGGCTCGTCTACGCTTTAAGCGTCCTGTCGCGCGCTTCCACTCGGATGGTGGTGGCGAATTCTTTAATCACTCTCTCTCCTCTTACTGTGCCTCTCATGGCATTCGCCAGACCTCCACTCTTCCTCACTCACCAGAACAGAATGGGGTTGCCGAGCGTCGCAATCGCACTCTCATGGAAATCACTCGCTGCCTTCTCACCCATGCCTCTGCTCCCCACTCTCTTTGGAGCTATGCTCTCCTCCATGCCACTCTACTCTCTAACCTCCGCCCTCATCCTCTTCGCCCTACTACCACCCCCTTCCAGCTTTGGACTGGCCGTCAGCCCTCTGTTCGCCCTCTTCGGGTCTGGGGGTGTGTCGCCCATGTTCTTGTCAATCCAGCAGACCGGTCCCGTCAGGGTGGGAAACTCGCTCCCAAGACGCAGCTCTGTGCATTCCTTGGCATCAACTCTGACTGTCCTGGCTATCTTTTCTATGCCCCTTCCTCTCACCAACTCATCCGCAGCCAGGACGTCATTTTCGATGAGACTCAATCCCCATTCCATTCCCCCCCACCCGCCCCTCCTGTCCCCTCTCTTCGCTGGTCTGATTTCGATCAGCCGCCGTCTGTCCTTCCCTCCCCTCCCCCCCCCCCCCCCTCCTATCCCGCCCCTTCCCGCCCCTCCCTCTGCGCCAGCCTCTACTGCCCCCCCTTCCGACATCATCTCTGGCGCCTCCCCACCCGCCTCTTCCTCTTCGGCTCCCCTCCCTTCCTCACTTCCATCATCCTCTCCACCTCCTTCGTCTGTTCCCATCCCCCCCCCTTCCCCAAGCCTTACTCGCTCCATGACTCGCGCACTTTCTAATTTTCAGCACTCTGCTCTTTTCACTCGTCTTTCTCCATCTCAGAATGTTACTCTTCTTGAAGATCGCTTTGAGGAGCTCTTCAACATTCATCCTGTTTCTCCTCTCATGTGTGTCACCGTTGGTGACTTCAGCAATTCCCCCACTCTTCTCTCTGTCGACACCGCTGCCATCCCCACCCCTCAGTCCTACTCCGAGGCTGTGTCGGGCTTTCATGCCACTGAGTGGATGGCTGCCATCATTGCTGAGTGTGAGGCATTCACCAGAACTAATTCATACATTGACTCTGTCCCCCCCCTTGGCGCCACCATTGTCAAAGGCAAATGGGTCTTCCATGTCAAGCAGCTGCCCGACGAACTTCCTGTCTTCAAGGCCCGCTACTGTGCCAAGGGGTTCACTCAGCGTGAAGGCATTGATTACTTTGCCACTTACTCCCCCACAGCCCGTCTCCCCACCCTTCGCCTCCTTCTTGACTTAGGTGCTCGCTGGAATTGGGAGATCCATTCCATGGACATTTCCAATGCTTTCCTCCAGGGCGAGCTGCATGAGCGCATATTCCTTGAGCGCCCCGCTGGCTTTCCTCGCCCTTTCCCTCCAGGCACGGTTTGGGAATTGAAACGACCTGTGTATGGCCTTAAACAGGCCCCACGCGAGTGGCACGCCAAGCTCGCCTCCACCCTTCACTCTCTTGGCTTCTCTACCTCCACCTCCGACCCCAGTCTCTTCATTCGCACATCCCCCCACAGGCTTTACATCCTTGCCTATGTGGACGATTTGGTGCTGCTTGCTGAGGACTCCGCCGATCTTGCAGCTGTCAAGAAGGCCCTGCAGGCGCGTCTCCTGTGCAAGGACCTTGGCGAGCTTCGTCACTACCTCGGCATAGATATCCGTCGTGATCGTGCTGCCCACACCATCTCTCTCTCCCAGTCTTTCTATATCCAGTCCATCCTCCAGCGGTTTGAGATGTCGCAGGCCAAGCCGGTCTCCACCCCTCTTCCCACTAACCATCAACTCACTGCCCCTGCCCTCCCTGCTCCCTCCTCTGAGCTGCGGCCTTATCCTGAGCTCGTTGGATCTCTCATGTATGCTATGATGTGCATTCGCCCCGACCTTGCTTACCCCCTCAGTGTTCTCTCTCGCTTTGTTGGTCTAGGCCGCCACACTGACGTGCACTAGGCGGCTGCTAAGCGTGTCCTGCGCTATCTACGCGCCACCTCTGACCTTGCTCTCACTCTTGGTGGCTCTGTTCCTCCCATTCTCTCCGGCTACAGTGACTCTTCCTATGCTGACTCCCGCCCTGATCGCCGCTCATCTCAGGGCTATGGTTTCACTCTTGGAAGTGGTCTCATAAGCTGGCGCTCTACTCGCTCCTCCTCTGTCTGCCTTTCCACCTGTGAGGCTGAGTTGTACGCAGGCACCTTGGCAGCTCAGGAGGCTCGCTGGCTCTCCTTTCTCCTTGCTGAGCTTGGTCACTCTCAGTCCTCTGTGACGCTCTCCTGTGACAGTGCGAGCATGATTCATCTCACTGAAAATCCTGTCTATCACGCCCGCAGCAAGCATATCAAGGTCCACTATTTCTTTATGCGCGAGCTGGTGCAGTCTGGTCTCTTACGTCTGCGCAAGGTGGACGCTGCTGCCAACCTTGCTGACATTTTCACCAAGGCCCTTCTGCGTGCGCCACACCGTTTCTACGTGCGCGAGCTTGGGCTCACGCGTCTCTCCACTTCTGGGGGTGTGCCGGTTCGCTAGGTGTTTTGCTCCAGAGCTTCACCTAGCCTGGGGGTGTGTTGGAGTAGGCTAGAGCTCGCTCTGGTCTTTATTTTGGTGTTCGTATATTATTTCTCCATACTTAGAGAGCGTTAAGCATTCAAGTTCATTTTAGGTTCATTTTGTAGCTTTTAGTACAAACCGAACACACCCTAGGTTCAATTAGGGTTTCCAACCATCTCTCTTTTGTACCTCGACATTTCTCTTTCTAGTTTAACTTTTTTACCTCACCAAACACTCTCGCCATCCATGGCTTCTCTAACTTCAACAATCCTCACTGCCATGTATGCATTGTCTACTAGTGCTGAGGGTGCCTGTCACCTGTGTGTGCCGCCTGACCCCGGTATCCAGTCTGCTGCTCTAGGTGCTGGTGCGTCTCCTGCTCGAGGTGCCGGTGAGGCTGCTGCTCTAGGTGCTCGTGCGTCTCCTGCTCCAGGTGTTGGTGAGGCTGCTGCTCTAGGCGCTGGTGAGTCTACTGCTCCAGGTGCTGGTGAGTCTGCTCTCTCTGGTGCTGCGCCTGCTGCGGTCTTGCACACCTTCACCCTTGACTCGGGTGCTTCCCGCTCCTTCTTTCGAGACCGCACCACACTCACGCCGCTTAGTCGGCCAGTTGCAGTCTCCCTGGCAGACCCCTCTGGGGGTCCTGTCCTTGCCCACTACTCCACTGTCCTACCGTGTCCGGCGGCCCCGTCTGGCTCCTTGTCAGGTCTTTACCTCCCCTCGTTTTCCACGAACTTGCTGAGTGGTGCTGACCTGCAGGATGGGGGGGTTGACCAGTTCACTCCTGCGAGTCAGAGAGTGACCCACTGCACGTGTGCTCGGACGGGCCGACACTTGGCCACGTTTACCCGTCAGCCGGGGTCCAGCCTCTACACACTGACTACCGAGTCTCCTCCGGTTACTGTGTCTGGTCAGGTAGATGCGTTGGGTCAGGTGTTTGCTGCAGCGTCCAGGTCTGGTCCTGAGTCTGCCCCCTGCTCGTGTCGTCTCCTGTCTCACCAAACTCTCCTCTGGCACCACCGCCTTGGTCACCCCTCCCTGCCTCGTCTTCGAGGCATGGCCTCCCGTGTCCTTGTCTCTGGTCTCCCCCTGTCCCTCCCTCCCCTTTCCCCGGGGCCTGCCCCTACCTGCGTTCCCTGCGTCGAGGGGCGACAGCGCGCCGCTCCTCACTCCTCCGAGTTTCCTCCGACGGAGGCTCCACTGCAGACTCTCCACATGGACGTGTGGGGCCCAGCCCGCATCCGTGGACAGGGTCACGAGCGTTATTTCCTGCTGGTGGTTGACGACTACTCGCGTTACACCACAGTCTTCCCCTTGCGCTGCAAGGGTGAGGTCACTGAGGTGTTGATCGACTGGATCCGCGCTGCCCGTCTCTTGCTTAGAGAGAAGTTCGACTCGGACTTTCCTGTTCTGCGTCTGCACTCCTACAGAGGTGGAGAGTTTTCCTCCGACCTTCTGCG